CAGAGGCAGAGGCAGAGGCAGAGGCAGAGGCAGAGGCAGAGGCAGAGGCAGAGGCAGAGGCAGAGGCAGAGGCAGAGGCAGAGGCAGAAGCAGAAGCAGAAGCAGAAGCAGAAGCAGAAGAAGAAGAAGCAGCAGCAGCAGCAGCAGCAGCAGCAGCAGCAGCGGCGCTCAGCTCTTGGGAGGCAGAGACAGGTAAGTTCTGTAAATTCTATATGTTCATCAGCCTGGTATACAAAGTAAGTTCTAGGACAGCCAGGACTTACACAGAGAAAACCCTGTCTCAAAAAACCAAAAAGGAGGAGGAGGAGGAGGAGGAGAAAAGAGAAAAAGATAAATAAATAAATAAATGAAGCAGAGGAGCAGCACATGTGCCTCTAATCACAGCACTGGGGAGGAGGAGACAGGAGAATCCTGGAGCTTCTGCCCAGCCAGTCTAGCTGCATCAGTGAGTCATTAGTTCAGTGAGAGACCTTGTCTCCAAATTGGAGACTAATTGAGGGGAACACCTGCTGCTGACCTCTGGCCTCCATGCTCAGACATGTGCCCAACATTGAACACACACACACACACACACACATATTATGCCCACTGCAAATAAAAATATCAGCCACTGTGCTGCGCTTCTGTTGTACCACAGGGAAAATATTCTTGGCCATCTTAGTCGCCATACCTTGACCCCTTCAGACCCCATCATGGTCTCCAGTTACTCTGTCCAGGACTGTCCTTGGGGAAAATAAAGCTTGTTTTGAGAGCCCCCCTCTTTTACCTGCTTTACTCCCCCTTCCCAGCATCCCCCTGACAGCTCTTTCCTGATAACTGTCCATTGCTGTACTACCTCTCAGGTGGTAGCCTACATCCCACGGCTCTGAGAAAGAATCCTATTCGGTCCATATGGACAGGACAGACTTCCTCTTTAATTCTCTTCTATCTCATTGGCTGATCCCTGCTGTTTGTTTTCCCCTTTTTCTTCTAGTTTATCATTATTGTATTGGCCTCTAAACTTTGGAAGGTGGAAGGCCCAGTCCTCTGATATGCCTTTGTATCTGTCCACACACATTCTTCAGGAAATTTCTCATAGTCATGTGACTTTCAACCATCTGCCAAGGGAATGCCAGTAAATGTTTAGGTAGGGACTTTCTGAGAGAGCAAAAGCTCTAACTTGTATGTTTGCTGATTCACTGTGATAAATTCTCTCTCCATGGACCATTTCAAGATGTCCGTGTGTCAGGACTTCAAAGATGAATCTTGATCATCTTTGAATGGAATAGAGAATCACTTGGAAGACACACCTCTGGACATGCAAACTGATAGCTTTAATCTCTCTCTACTCCTGTGTTGATGTAGTGTGACTGGCTGTCTCATGCACTCACCACCATGCCTTCCTCATCACGACGGCATCCAGTTCTCTGAACTGCGACCCAATAGAAGCCCTTCTTATGTGACCCAATAGAAGCCCTTCTAAAGTGACCCAATAGAAGCCCTTCTAAAGTGACCCAATAGAAGCCCTTCTAAAGTGACCCAATAGAAGCCCTTCTATGTGACCCAATAGATGTCCTTCTTAAGTGACCCAATAGAAGCCCTTCTATGTGACCCAATAGAAGCCCTTCTATGTGACCCAATAGAAGCCCTTCTATGTGACCCAATAGAAGCCCTTCTTATGTGACACAATAGCCCTTCTATGTGACCCAATAGAAGCCCTTCTTATGTGACACAATAGAAGTCCTTCTTCCTTAACTTTGTCAGTTATTTCGTCACAGCAGAGAGAAAAAAGCTAAACTGACCAGTAAGGGAAGACCAGAAAGGAGAGGAAGTGGAAGAGGTGGAAGGCAGTGGAGAAGTATTCCACAGATGTGGCTCATCTACTCCTAGATTTGAGAACAAATGTTCATGGCATCGATTCTTCCATACTGTTTTCTGTACAGAAAACAACATTGATCTCTGAAGCCCATTGATGAATTAATACAAATAAAAGTGGATTTCTGGGCCCGGGTAGATGGCTCAGTAGGCAAGAGGATTTTCTGGCCTAACATGAGGATCTGGGTTTGAGTTATCAGTTCCCATGTAAAAAGCTTGGCATGATTACACATGTGTCTGTAACCCCAGTGCAATGGAGGTAGAAACAGGAGGATCACTGAGGCTAATTGGCTTCCAAACTCTAGGTTCAGTGAGATGTCATGCCTCAGTGGACTAAACAAAAAGTGATACAACAGGAAATCCAGTGGCCTCTCTCTCCTCCACATGTGTGCACACACCTGCATACACATGTTTGCATTCATCACACACAAACATATACACAATGGACTTATTTCAACTGTATGATCTAAGAAACTCAGGCTGCTTGAACATGCCCCAAGCTTTTAGGACCTAAGAGCTCTGTTTCAAAGCACTTACAAGATATGCTCTAAGAACAGTTGGATGATTCCGTAAACATGTCTTCATTATAGAGGACTGAAATAAACACAGACAGCTCTTCACTGGAGAAGACCAGCAGGTAGGAATAACCAGATCAATGTTTGGGATCTTGACTTGTCTAGAAAGAAACCCTGCTTGTTCCACACTCCCTCACTACAAAAGGTGTGGTCTAACTGCTAAGAAAGAGAGCACTGCTGAGGATAGCCTAGCATAGCCAAGGATGGCCCAGGAATAAAGACTCAACTCCCAAGAAGATTAAATTGAATTTTCTCTTATCAAGAACCATGCATTGGACCATCTTACCACAACAAAGCAAAGAAACCCACCCCAATCCACCCATCCAGTCCTCTTTCAGATGGTAGTACCATAAAACACAAGAACCATCTCAGTTCCTTAAGCTGGCACGGGGGATACATCTTTGTCACCATATACTTTGAAGCAGTGTTCTTAATGCTGGCTGCTCAGTGGCATCACTTGGAAGATTTAAATACCGATGCCTTCCACTGAGATGCACTCTGGTCTGGGCACAGTGTAGGCACGGGAAACCTGCAAAACTTCTTAGAGCTTTCCAACGTAAAGCTGATGAGCTCGAGACGGATGCATTCCTGGGGTTCCCCTAAGCCTCCCTGCTAGTCTAGCCTACTTGATGAGTTCCCAGCCAGTAACAGAACCTGCCCAAAGAGATTGTTCAGTGGTTAAGTGTGTACTGCTCTTGCAAAGACCTGGAGTTCAGTTCCTAGCATTCATGTAGGGCAGCTCATAACTACCTATACCTCCAGAATTAAGGATTCAATACCCTGTTGTGGCCTCCTCAGACACCCCCATATACAAACACACACACACACACACGACTTTTATTTTCCATTTAATCCTAATCACTAACAACAAGGGGAAAATGACCTTTCATGCCTTCTGTGAACCAGAGAATTGGAGACCCTGAGAGTCCACGATCTTTTTCTACAGAAAGGCGTATATTTATGGAAAGAACCAGAGTGTTCTTGGATGAGGGGGCTGGATAATAATACATGTGAATACGCTGATCTGTCCGAATAGTTCTTGGCTGTCTGCTTTCAATGGTAATAAATATCCACTAAGAGCTGTCTGCTGGATGTGTTTTGGGTAGTGTCTCACACTTCCCTGCATGAATACATTCAAAATGTAAGCACCACACACACGAGCACAGAGATGCTGTTGTATTCTGGATCCTTAAGTTATGCAGCTTAGCAGCTGGGATAATGTAATGGTTTGCAAAATAATAGACTGGCAATATGTCAACCTGGAATAACACATCGAGTAATGAATGTTGCGGGTGCCATGAGGTTTAATTTATGCTGTGTTAAAAATACCACTCCAGAAATATCACACCATCTCAGTGTTTCCAAGAGGGAAAAAAAAAACAAAGACCTTTTCACCTAAACTAGTCAAATAATTGTAGGGAAAGAGAATTCCCTCTTCCCAATAAAATGATCAAATTTATACGACTTTGTGGAAGATGTTTAGCTTGAGTTAGTCTAGTAGCTCCCACCTTGTTCCACTTAGAGGTGTGTGCTCTTAGAGTCCAGAATAAATACGAAAGAACATTTCTTTTTTTTATTATTTTTTTTGATTTGTGTTAACACGTGAGAGTGAACACGATTGCCACAGCAACAATGAGACTTCCAGGACGTCAGCTTGGGAACTGAGGCTATTCCTATTTATGTCTTATCTCTCAGGCAAAAGAATGAGGGTCTCCCAGATTTCACTGACTCTCACATCCACAGAATAGTTTATTCCACTCTATTAGGTCCTCTCTATTTGTTTAATCCCCAACACTGAGATTGCAACTGTTTAAATAACAAAACAAAATAAAACATGGGTTCTCCTCAGAACTCATGTTCTGAGGAGATTGAACTCAGGTCCTAGCAAGCACTTTGACAACTGAGCTGTCTCCCCTGCCCTAATTTTATGTCTTAGACTGAGCTAGATTAGGCCATTCTGTTTCAGGAAGAATAGGATGGTCTCTTAGATCTGTGTTGGGCATGGCTGGCTGCCTTGACTGATTTCATCTAGAGTCCCCCTACTGATGTAAAAAAAATGGATGGACAATCTGAGATCAGATATTTCTACTATTCCTGTTATGAACCAAGTGACTTGTTCTCAGGGAGTTTATTATCCATGAAAATGGCACCTTCAATGCAGGTGACATGTGTTCCTGCGGGAGAAGTACAGAACACTATGGCATCTTGCAGGAAGTGCACTTTTGTAGACTTGGGTTAGAGATGGGGCACCTGGGAAGGCTTCCAATAGGATATGAACTTCATACAAAAGGATGGGAATAGGAAGTTAAGGAGTGGGAGGAGGAAGCATCAAGTGCCAGGCTAACGAAAGAATGTTCAAAGGCCTCGATGCAACAGAGCGAATGGTACTCTAAAGGCTGTAGGATATGCGCATGTGTGGTTGGAGTACAGCCCAAGAGTAATAAGGGGAAGAAGGGAGACAACAGTCTTAGCAGGGTCCTGATTCTAATCTGGCATTGGTACCTGGCCTGAGGCACAGAACCACTGAAACGCTTTATGTACACAGTGATATAACTGTCCCTAATCTAACTGAAAAGACTACAGAAGAAGGTGCAAGGCTAGCAACCATGAGAAGACAGCATGTGGGCAAAACATGACGGCGGTCTTAATCTGGCTGTTGGGAGGAGTTGCGAGATGAGAGAGAGAGAGAGATCAAAATCAGAAATGCCAGCACACACAGTAGCTGTTCGAGGGAGACAGAGGAAATGGACAAGACAGGAAGATACCTGGGTTGTAGTTTGGGTACACGCCCCATACCATCATTTTTGTCTATTACAAAATATTCTGTAAGATTATGAGGGATCTTGCCAGGTGATGGTGACACACACCTTTAATCTCAGCACTCAAGAGGCAGAGGCAGGTGGATCTCTGAGTTTGAGGCCAGCCTGTTTCACAGAGTGAATTACAGGACAGCCAGGGCTACACAGGGAAACCATGTCTCGAATATCACATTGATTGAATTGTCCTATTCATCTGTTCCTCCTGCAAAAAATGCTCACTGCCAATCATATCAAAGTATAGCACTGACAATTACACATTATGTGGCACTTGAAAGCGACCATGGATGACTACCCTACTGGCTTATCACTACCCTTTATCACTGTCTTAGACTGTAGCCATTCTATTTATTAAAGCACCATCACTGGCTAGAAAATGAAGTCTTGTGATAGGCCAGCAGCAGCCTCCTATGACTCATGTTCATCTCTTTCCTCCAGTTCATTGTACTGTATTGTGTTTGATTTAATATTGCATTATTAGGAGATTAACATTAGGATTTTAGGTGTAAGAGGCTGCAGTGTGCATGCTTGTATGTACATAATTCAGGTATACAGTGGGCCATCCTATCTAGGCTTGTGTGAGTACACTCTATGATGTTGGCACAACAATGAAGGACCTGGCTGTGCATTGTATCCATGGTCACCGATTTTTGATTATACTTTGTCTGTATAGGGGCAGGCTTGTGGTGCTGGTGTGTGCTGAATTCCACTTTGGGCACATTAGATTCAAGGTGTGAAGACTGTCAAGAGAACAGAAATACCCAGGGCATTCTGGGCCTGTGGGTCTATGCTTTAGAGGGTAATCCACTAGAGGATCAAGCACTGGGTCCCTCTCAGTTGGGAAATCAGAGCATGAAATCTGACAGGCTACAGCTGGAGACGTCCTTGAAACAGGAGTTCAGAGGTATCAACGATCAAATCTCAGGGTGGGAAAGACATACACGTTACTCAGTTTCTGTCACAAAAGCAGAGAATTGAGGTGGTAATAGCTACCTTACAAGCCTATCTCCACCTTAATTTCAAATCACAAACTTCAGCCACCCAAATTGGGCCATATAAAAGGTTTCCTTACTTCATTTTTCCTTGGCCACTGCAGTAAAGCACCTGCTTTAGAAGGAAGAGAGCATGAAGGTGCTCCTGGCTCAGGGAGGATGAGCGACTTGGCATCTGTGTTCCTGGAACCTGGAACACCTTGTTTTCCATGAGTGATATAGGAAGTTGAGAATCCAAGGGAAGTTATCAGCAGAAAGAAAAAACTTCAAGGAAGTACAGGCTGCTTTGAAGGGTCCAGAGCCCTTTGACCCATCTCTTAAGGCCATGAACCTTGGTGGCTACTCAAGGGAAGAAATAAGTTGTATATGATTCAAATGTAATTCCTTACTTGTAAACACACATGTCAACAGGTATGTGATGGGTCATATTTGGATTCCTGTATTGGTGATTTGTTTTAAATGGTGAACAGTGAAAAACTAAGTGGTAAGTACATACCCCTGCATTTATGCAAATTTATATTAAATATTAAGTGCCCATCTGGAGGTTTCAATGATACAAAGAGAGGCTTCAAGGTAACTAAATTTTTTAAAAAATAATAATTTTATTTTATGTGCATTAATGTGAGGTGTCATATCTCCCAGAACTTGGGTTACAGACAGACAGTTGTGAGCTGCCCTGTGGTTGTGGGGATTGAACCTGGAAGAGTAGCCAATGCTCTTAACTGCTGAGCCATCTCTCCAGCCCTGTAATTGGATTTTTTTTGTTTGTTTGTTAAAAAGCAGCATAATACTCTCCTATATTGCCATATTGCCCAGCCCTGAGAATCATGATTTACATTTGGGAAGTTATGAATAAATATTTCAATAATAAAACATGTTACACAGGCTTGGTTATCACAGAGGCAAGGGTTTTCATTGTAACTGAAAACCACATTCCCCGGCTGGGATGTCTGGCTTCACACGTGACCCTAGCACTTGAGAGGCTGACACAGGAGGATTGCTATGAGTTGGAAGGGAGCTTGGATGACACAGTGAGTTCTACAGAGTAATACAGCGTTTCCAAACAAAGAAACAGGTCAACAAACAAATAAAGACGATGGATAAATTTGTGTGTTTTTATTCCCATGCTCCAGAGCTATAAAATGAAGCATACAGTAGGTGCTTACTACACATTCATTGGCGGAACTGATACTGAGCACAGAAATGTATTTCAAACTGAACTGAAGACCCACATACAACCAAAATGGGCAATGCCCTTTCAAAAAATTCAAATAGAAAAAAAATTATAACTTACCAGAGCCAGAAACACAATCCTGCCTGGATATTCTAGACAGTCCTCCATATGCTGAACCTTTAATTAGGTTTTCTTTAAATTAAAAAAAAAAAAACAACCCTTAACTACTAAGCAGTCCAGCCAGAAAAAGCCATTTGAATTAAGGTCTGCTCCCTTTCATGAGCGGGGCTAGATAGCTTATCTATCTCACTTTTTGAGTTGGTTTTGGCTTATACTTAATCTAACACTTGGATGTAGACATCCAGTTCATGGAAGGGCTTGTCAGGGTCCCAACAGGGAGTCTGGAGGTTTCTAAGCCACACAGTATAACCCTTCCCCATGGTGGTGTAGGTCCTAATCCCCACACGTTGAGATGACCTCTTTCAGAGAACCAGCTCATTTTGCATTCACGACAGCCACCCTCAAAACTGTATTTCTTATTATAAAGAAAGACAAACCCTTATTATTTTATAGGCTCTTCTCTGCCAGGGACTACCATGAAGGGCACATGCTTTCAGGAAATTAACAATCACTCCAGCCAAAATCGGCGGTATTATGAACAAACAGACCCAAAGGACAGCATTAGGTTAGAAAAAGCAACAAGAAAATAACACACGGATGAGGATGAGTAGGGGATTTTAGCCAACCAGCTTCATAACTGACATCAGCAAGGCTCCAAAGCCCCTCGACAGCACCTTCACCCCCTTTTCACTCAGCAGAGGGAATCGCTACTGTACTGAGTAGTTCAGCGAGCCCCGGAGCAGTCGGGCTCGAGCCCTGACACTTCTCAACCAGCTCCGGGGGGGAGGGGGACAGGTCCCCCGTCATATTTCATCTCCCCTCTGGCATCAGCATCTGCAACTGACAGACATTACCATTTCTGTCAGAATTCTCATCCCTATCTGTTCGGGGGGAGGGGGGGAGAGAGAGAGAGAGAGAGAGAGAGAGAGAGAGAGAGAGAGAGAGAGAGAGAGAGAGAGAGAGAGAGAGAGAGAGAGAGAGGATCACAATCTGCAGCCCCAGGAAAATCGAATTGCTCAGGAAAACATCAGTAGCAGCAGTAATTCCGAGCACAATGAAATCAACATCTCCATGTCTGTAACAACTGCTCAATGAAAGCAAACAGCCGGCCGGCCGTGGCCACATTGCTTACCCTCTCCACGCTGCGCCTTCTCAGAGATCCATACGGTATTTTCAGAAGTCTCTGAGGTCTGTTTGGAGTCACTGCTGTCTGAACTACCATGGTGTGAGTGAGCAAGTGTGTGTGTGTGTGGGGGGGGGTGTCGCTAGCAAAGAGGGAGATGAGCTAGATTCGTGCTAAGCTGTGGTCTTCGGGAGGTTTCCCAAATATCAAAAAGCTGAAAGAGTTTTCCTTTAGACCCTGTGAGTCAAGATGTAGCTGGTTAAGAGGTGGGGGATGGGGAGAAAGGAAAACAGCCCAAGTTCTCCAACTTCAGCTGTGTAGAGCGGCACCTTCAGCTTCCTTCTGGCTGTCCCCGCAGCGCTGGCTGGCTCAGCGAGACCTGCTGTCCCAGGAGTGGGTAAGTGGGGCTTGTAGGGACAGTGATCCAGAAATGTCAACTTTGCTTCTCTGGGCTGCGGATGGCAACCAGGTCAGTTGTCTCATCAAGGCTGTATCAGACACGTTATTCGCGCCACCACGTGACGCCCAAGCCCCTCGGCTGTACAGTGGGTCACATGCTTACCTTAAAAGGACTAAGAGGAATCTCCCCCACATCTGGAGCAGAGATTAGTTCAGAATCCTGCATTCTGATTTCATTTTCTTCCTAACATCAGAGAAATATTTGAAGACTAGCAACGGTGCATGTGGGAGTTGGGGGTCTCTTTGGATTCATAAATTACCTCTATGAAACTGAACATAAGACAGGAATATGTTTTTCCCACCGCTGCTTCCAACAGAAAATGTATGCATCAAATTAATTATGTGAATACAGGCCGCAGGAACACAAGGTGGGGGAGGGGTGGGAGGGATGGTAGAAATCTCTGCGATCCTTGCATCCATGGTTCAGATGAATCAGACCAAAGCCAAAGGAGTTACCTGTGCCACCGCCTTGTGCAAATGTGCCTAGAACATTTTTTTGTTTGAAACTTTGACAGTATTTATTTATTTTGTGTGCCACTGTATACCGGGGGCAAGGGGAGAGGTCATGTTGGTTTGAGGAATGCCACAGTAGGGGTCAGAGGACAACATTCAGGAATCAGTTTTCTCCTTTCACCTTTTGGTCCCAAGGATCAAACTCAATGTCTTCAGGTCATGGAGAGTGCCTTTACCCACCCAGACACCTCACTGACCCTAGGACCGTCAGGTTTACGTCTGCAGCGAGTCATGTGTGGTTTTACAAAGCATTAAAACGACTCAAGCTCTGCTTCATCCACATCTGCCAATTCTTTTCTGAACGAGGTGTAATTCCAACAGATGGTCCAAGTGGGCTAATGTTTTAACTTTCTGTGGCACTAGCTTACCCGCCCCCACTCCTCATCACTTCATCCCCTGGAACCAGCTCTCTTCCACGGCAGAGAAAAATCACAAGTAACAGCTTTCCAGGATGTAAGGAATTCTGTTTGCCTCTCTTGAACACAGTTCCACACACGAACACACATCCTCTGCCCTCGTTCTCATGAAAGCAATGTTCGCTCCCTCTGTGGAGATCTTGGGCTTATCCTGACACCACTGGCACGTTGGGAACCAGCTTTTCTCTGTTCCCCACACACCAGAGCTCGGTTTATGGAGAGTGATGAAAAAGAAAGTTCTGTTTATTCAGACAAAACCTAATAGGAAATGGGGGGGGGGTGTGAAGGGAAGAAGGGTTTTCTGCTGCTAGAGAATGAATTAGAGCAGGGAGCCTCGGAGGAGAGGGGCACCGGGATGCGGGGAGCTGGGCTGCACCCGTGGGCAGGGTCCTCCCATGCAGACACACAGTAAGAGGCAGTTAAAGCAGCGAGCCCACGTGGGAAAGTCCAAACGCACAACAATCAGGCTTTGTCCGTAATTGGCTCCATGTGTGCGGTTGGAGTGAGCAAGAGGGTGAGCGAGAGGGGAGAGGAGGGACAGAAGGAGTCCCAGGGATATCTTTGGAGAGGGGTTTTAGGTTACATGTCATTTGTCCTCCTCCTCTCTTCCTGCCTGCACTGCCCAGATTCAAAGTAGACAGGAGCAGAGAATAAATCTGCACCGATACTCAGTTGTTCATCCGAACCTGCAGGCTTTTCCTAAATGGCACTTGAAGGTGTCGCAGGTTTGAACAAAGGACGGGTGTGTTTTCCAAACAGTCGTCTGTCCAGAGCTAGGGGATTGTGTCCTTCCAGCTTGTTCTGAGAGGACACAGTGAATGGTTGCCTCTCCTGTGACCCCGGCCCCAGCAAAGCCCCTGAGAGCTGAATTTATTTATATTTCAGTAAATGCAACTTCCTGTTTCCCAGGGGTATTAATGGAGGGTTCACTAAGAACTCAAGGCTTTGGCGGTGCAGTTCAGACAGTAAGGGACACTTTGATGAACTAAGTGCAAATAAAACAGGAGCACATGTGTTCAATTATGGCTAAATCCGCATAGAAGAGAATGCTAATGGAAATCAAAATAACTCTGGGCCAGACTCCCCCCCCCCACACACACTGCAGCACATTCCACACCCTCCCCAATGTGGCGGGGCACGGTCATGCTTTCTATAAGGAGAAGTGTCTCCTCCCACCAACGGAGCCCCCCTTCCCCAGTCCCTATGGAGAAAAATGCCCGCCTCCTCTTTTGACCTCAAGGCTGAGAAGTCAGCTTGCCCAGAAACATCTGTTGGTCTGTCCATTGATTTTGAGATCTGCACATTTCAGGCTCCTTGCTGAATCTACAACATTTATGTTTGTTATTTATTTTCACTATTAGAACACAAGTATGTTTCTCAGGAGGAGACAGGCATACATACTTTACCTGATGGGACCACTTTAGGGGAGGAGAAGGGATGGATGCTTGCTGAGTTGCCAGACAACCAGCTGGGAGGGTTCCATTCTCAATGAATGAAGCGATTTCCATTGTTTGTGTTTCACAGGTGAAGGAACGGAAACATACATATAAAAAACAAGGTGACCAGAGTACACTGATGGGCAGGCAAGAAGTCAGATGTAGACCGAAGTAACTGCAGGGTCTAACTCGGCCTATTCTACTGCCAACTGTCACAGGTCATTTTGTTAGCTCGTGGCAGTTTCACAACCTAGAAAAGCAAACCTCCTCATGGGCTTGCAGGAGCGCTGGAGCTTCAAGGTCAGAGGACTAGGGAGATGAGCAGTTTCAAAGTCTCCCAATCGGCTGCCATCACGACATCCAGGCTTGAGTCCAGGTCATAGACAACCCCCAAAATGCTAAGGAAGGGACAGTGGGGCCCCGCCTCAGGGGCTCGAAATGGAGCTGAGTAAGAAGAGCTCAGAAATGGGGTCACCTATGGTAGGACTGGACCACATGGATGCCAAGTTCACTTGGGTCCCCATGGAGCCAAGGGGAGGAGGAGGAAGAGGAGTGGCAGCCTCCGGTTTTTCACTGTCCTCTGCCTGCCAAGTGACAGGAAGAAAGCAACAGTCACACAGGCAAGGACGAGGCTCTGTGAATCAATGGGTCCAGATACAATGGCCCAAAGAACTGACCTTGGGAAAGAGAATGAACAGGATGGTGTGAAGGGGTTGGAACAACTTTATATTAAAGAGCGCATTATCTTCACTAGGAGAGGATGGCCCCAGGCCGTGTGTATAGCAGTCTAGAGGGCCCCTGGCAAGCTAGGCAGGATGCCTGCCGTGGGCTAGGTGTCAAGAATGAGTGGTGTGGGGCTGGAGTGCGGGGGCAGCCATGCTCAGGGGTTCAGTTCCCCCAGGCTGCTGCCCTTGATGGCTCAAGGAGCCAACGCATCCGGCTGATGGAGGGTTTTGTTTGTTTACTTGGAACATTTCCTTCCAGTCTCGAGGAGAACATTTACATGAAAGTCTGGACTGAAGCCGCTCGGGGATGAAGTGAACTGCATTGTAAGAAAATCAATGTTCTCCGTGTTCCAAAGCAAGGCGCATCAAATCAAAGCCATGTTCCAGGTCACTAACAGTTGGGTGTGAAAGAGGAGATGGGGGTAACGGTTTGTGGGACTGAAAGCAGTTTATGACACCAGCCTTGGTGGAATGAGACAGGAAGAAAGGAAGAGATCATCTGATGTATGCCTGTGAATCTCTCTCTCTCTGTGTGTGTGTGTGTATGACTGTATGTATGTGTTTGTGTATAAGTATGAATTTAGGTGTTTGTATGTATGTGTCTGTTTGAGTAAGTACATGTCTCTGTGTGTATGATAGTGTATGTATTTGTCTATGTTTGTGTGTGCTTGTCACACACCCACAGTTGCATAAACACAGCTCGGAATCAGAGCAATGAGCATACTGGTACATGTTACAAGCTACACCGGGGCTAATGAACGCTGGTGGCTCCCTGCCGTTCTGCACATCCACACTCTCACTTAGAGCATTAAGTGGCTGGCTCTCAGTGAACTGTCCCCTCTGTTTTGTGCCCCTGACAGAGCAGTGAGGAAGCAGGTCAACAGGCAGGGTGGCTTCCTGTGGGAGGAAGGCACTGAAGGACACTGTGCAGATGGGGTGCCAAATGGAAGCTCTGGAGATTGAGGGCATGCTGAGAGGAGGGACAAAGGGCCCTGAGCTGAGGAAGGAGCTGGAGAAGTGAGCCGAGGGGCCCTTCTGGGTGACAATTTCACAATCGGAATATGGGATCCTTCTTAGGTTTGTGTTTCTTACTATATTACAAGGGACAAGTTAAGGGAGAGAAATTGACTTTGGTTGCCACTTAGGAAACAGACAGGACAGGAAGTGGGGCCTGGTCATAGCCCTCAAGCCACTTTCTCCAGCGAGGTTGCACCCCTTAAAGGTTCAGTGCCTCCCAGGACAGCACCCCCAGCTGGGGAGCAAGTCTTCTCAAGCATAAGCCTGCGAGGGCCACTTCTCACACAAGCCCTAACGCTGCTTTCTCTTCTACAAAGCAGAAAGATCCTAACCTGAGGATCACCCTCCTGCCTCCTCTTTCACTAGTTGGCTGAACTTGACATTTCATTTAACCCTACGTTGAGACAAAAAAGAAAAAGGATCTGGGGTGGGTCTGCCCAGATTGGCTCCTCTGTCACTGCTGGGACAACGTGTGGTGCTCAAGGCCAAGGGTCAACCTGCGTCTGAGATGGCTCAGTGATCATCTTGCATACCGTACCACACTCTCTGATATGGGCCTTGGCCCTGCCCAAACTGAGCTTATTCTTTCCTTTTGTTGCCTATATCTCTTCATCCAGTCCTCGGGCACCTACTGAGTGTCTGATGAGATGATACAACCCCCTTAGTGGCACGCTCTCTTGCAGGGACCATTTTAAATGTTG